GGTTAAGCTGTCCAACAAGAAGTATTTTGTAACGAAGAGCTAGCTGAGGCGCTCATAAAAGGGGAAGCTCCGCCCACGAGGGGCCACTCTTTAGCGTCTTCAAAATGTACTGCTTTAACGCTTCTTCTACAGAAACTACTTCTTCGAAATGTATGGCAGAATATTGTGCTTACCGATCCGCCAGCTTGGATCACTTGAATCCATTTCACTTTGTCTGCATCATCACAAATCATCTTGAAATCGGCCACCAATGAAACAAATTCTACTGTGCTTCTCTGAAATCGGATATGAATGGTTATCACCAGGAAGCTGACGGAAGCTGATGGCTCCCTCTTCTGTTTTTCTCATAATCTCAAATCAGTTGTGTAATTCCTCTGGTTATTCCCATGCAACGGTGGAGAAAACCATTCAGGCTGTTTTCCAGTCCGCGCCCCGTTCGTTGGCGGGAACTATGGCTGTAGATACCGCACCTCGACGACCCGTCGTCTAGCCCAGTATGGCCGACTACGCAATGGCTTCCCTTTGATGTATGGTCACTAGATCTGTCTGAGAATAATCGCATGAGTCGAGATGGTTGTATAGGTTGCGTGGACGTTTAATAAAAAACTCATGGGCGACGCTCACGCAGCGCGTGCTGGGTAACGTCACGGAGATTGCACGGCGAATTCGCAGGTGCCTACACTCTGGTCTTCGACGACACTGAACTCGCCGGTACGTCAGCACCGCGCGATAAACAGCACTGGGTGACATGGAGGAGAGCTAGAGCGCAGTTTGAAGGCAGTTGGCACGATAATTTCATGTACACTTTGAAAAAGAGCAAAGGTGCCCAGTAATGCAAAAATAGTGAAAAAACGGGGCGAAATGGTGGGGAAACCACGAATGGGGCTTTATTTCTTCGCTGCACTGCGGCAGTGGACGAGCGAACGGCTGGGCGGGCGCTGCTTTGGACGAGTCTACCGACTGAACTGTTTGTGGCAAAAAGCCAGCAGTACGTTCTACGTCGCTCTACGTTACACTACATTACACGTAGGCACGGGCGGTCCACAACGGCACGTCCTCGTGCTGTGATGCTATACGTCCAATGGTAGGCGGGCGGGCGAGGTGGGCGTCCGGGTCGGTATGTTGCTCGACATCGTCGGTAGGTTACGTGACAACTAGAACTTTTGGTGGGGGTCCTGCCACGATAGGCCAGAGCGCAGAGCAATAAGGGACTGCTACAGCTAAGGCACCGTGAGGTAGAAAAAACACTATGCGAGCCAGGAGATGAGCTTTTTCGAAGGGAGGGGACACCGGGGTCCACTTAGTATGCGTGAAAAGTTGGAATGTGAAAGGTCAAAGTGGCCATAAATCGCCATTCAGGCAAGAGAGCGCAGAGAAAAAAGAAAGTTGGCGCCATTAAAGGGATTGAGTTTTAGTTGTCCGTAGACCGGGTCGGTATGCTGCTGCTCAGTAGGGCGCTATAAGGGTACCCTCCTTGGAAAAGGCGCTACGCAGCGCCTGTTCAGGGTCACGGAATTCTGCCATGCCAGTCGTATTAATCCTACTCGTCTTTAGGGATTTATCGTGCCAACTGCCTTCAAGACAGTTCTCGTTACTACAAGTGGCAGGTAATCGAGTAAAAAGGCAAGTGTTCCGTGTGCTTAGTAGTGGAGAAGATAAGCATGAAAAATCGTCCTCGAGACCCTCTTTCCTTCGATCACGATGTTTGGGGGGGGGCATAAGATGGTCAGGCACAACGGCATTACCACGATGACACGGGCAACGTACGCCAGTGTGGGCCTATTGGAAGCCTGTGAGTTTAACACTTGCACTTTATTCGCATGTTCGTAAATATTGCAATTTTGAATGTAGTACAGCCTTTGCGACCACGAGTAGCGCCGCCTTGTACATTTCAGAGAATTCTGCCCTGGTTTATCGCAAAACGATCATTCAAGGCGACGCTGATCATTACTACCCCTTTATCCGCGAATTCATGGTGACGCCTTATCGAGCCCGCCCATGAATTTGCTGCCCTCTGTTCCCTGTTACTAAAATGTTGAATGAATTTGAACGAATGGCCCCGGATGGTTTCTTCAAAGCCATAAATCACGCTGTTTGTGGTCAAAGGCAATGGGATGCGATTACTAGGGGTGGGCGGTTGTTGCAGGCGTCATTAGTGGGTAGGCTGCGAGAAGGCGTTTGGACACACACCACCCACTCTTTCACCAATGACACTGTCGACAACCGCCAGCCCCCAGCGATCGTGCCCGCTGCCTCCAAATTTTCCCTTGGTTTGGTTTTTAAGACGAGATCGTGCAACGAACCTCAGCAGTATAGGATGAGCAGTTATTCTTCAGAAAAGCGCATTTGGTATCGTCCGTTGGTGCGTTCACTGAAATCATTCATGTCCTTACTGAGTGGTCGTTCTCACGGCGCATTCCGTGCTTGGCGTATGGGCGGAGTTAGCCCTAGCGCTGTGTCATCCTCTTGGCTTTTCTACGGAAGGCGCAGCGATAGGCTCGACTAAGTACAATAGCCCATAGAATAAGGACAGAATGTTCCTTCGTTAACTGCATAGATACTTACCTGTGTAATAACTTCCATTTCTTAGCGTGCAGTTCCAGTTTGGTTCAAGTGATCCGAGGACGTCCATGAAGGTGCTGTTTCCTAGATGTTGCCTTTTCTTATGTCTTTACTTGACTTTATTATTTTTTGAAAAAAAAACAAGACCCTAGGATGCGTTATTAAAGCGCTTCGCAGG